ATGCGTTGTAAGTGATAAGTGTGTCGTACAGTTGAAAAAAGAAAGGAAAAGAGTGCTAGGCGCGCTCTCAAGTTTCAAAATATGTGGCTTTGCGTGTAACTTGATGTGATACTGAAGCCCAGTGGGTGCCGTTGGTGATCTCAGGGTACACGTGTTTCCTTAAGTGGAGTGAGGGGGGTGGGGGAGGAAGAGGGGGGCCAGGAGGGGTGTTGCTGACCTGGGGATTTGGGAGTGGCCGGGGCAGGGGGTACGTGGGGTACGTGGAGGAGGAGGAGGAGCAGAGAGGAGGGGGGGAGAGGGAGGTTCCCACGAGGTTGGTGTGACCGTCACCCGGGCAGCGGTCGGTGTCTTGTGTCACTCGTTAATGCATTATTCATTAAGGCTGTCACTCATGTCTTGACAGCGCCGAGCACAACGCCTTGCATTCTCTCTCTCTCTCTCTCTCTCTCTCTCTCTCTCTCTCTCTCTCTCTCTCTCTCTCTCTCTCTCTCTCTCTCTCTCTCTCTCTCTCTCTCTCGCTCGCTCGCTCTCTCGCTCTGTATGTGTGTATGTGTGTATGTGTGTATGTGTGTATGTGTGTATGTGTGTATGTGTGTGTGTGTGTGTGTGTGTGTGTGTGTGTGTGTGTGTGTGTGTGTGTGTGTGTGTGTGTGTGTGTGTGTGTGTGTGTGTGTCTCTGTCTGTCTGCTTGTATGTCTCTCCGTCCCTCCCTCTCCCTTCTCTGTCTGTCTGTCTCATAATGTGAATGTGAAGCTAAGCGAAGATCAAGGTCCCCCCCCCCCCCCCGCTATGATTGGTCTTTTTTTATACAGCGATACGAACGCCACCGGAAGGTTAGGCGACGCGCTCATTGCCACGCGCACGTTCATCACACTCTTTTGAGCACATGTTCCTGTCCTCCCTCTTACCTCCCTTCTTACGCTTAATTCTCCTCCCCCCCCCCCCCCCTCCCTCTCACCCTCCCCTTCCCCCTCCCCCCCCTTTTTTTTTCTTCCAAGCTCCCCTTCTGCTCTCCCTCTGCCCTCCCCCCCCCCTCCTTCTACTTTCCTCCTGAGCTCCCCCCCCCACTCCTCCACCCTTTCCCTCCCGTCCTCAGTTCAGTCACCTTCTCTCTTCCTACGTTATTTTTCCCATATTTCCCCCTTTTCACCCTCTCTCTCTCGTACGTACGGAAAAGGACTCTCTCTCTCTCTCTCTCTCTCTCTCTCTCTCTCTCTCTCTCTCTCTCTCTCTCTCTCTCTCTCTCTCTCTCTCTCTCTCTCTCTCTCTCTCACTCACTCACTCACTCGTTACTCGCTCCCTTTTTGGCTCGCTCGTTTAGTGGTTGGCTTACTCGTTCACTTACTCGTTCATTCATTTTTTCGTTGACTCGCTCGTTCACTCATTCGTTCGTTCGCTCGTTCACTCACTTGTGGGCTAATTCGCTTACTCACTCGCTAGCCTACTCGCTGGCTTGCTCGCTTACTCGCGGTAGCTGCTTCCCGAACCTGTCCGTTCTGGCTCGTGGGCGCCGTACCTCAGGGGTGTCACGTGGGGGCGTGTGTGCGGCTGTGATGTTTGGGGTGTGGGGGTGGGTGATAGGTGGGTGGGTCGTGGAGCGGATAGGTGGCAGGTGGTAGAAAGGAAGACGATGATAAAGGCAGAGTAGAGAGAGTAGAGAGGAAAAAAAAAACAGGGGGATACGAGGAAGTATGCAGAGGGCGCACTGACGCAAAAAAAAAGTTAATAAACAGAACCCTACTACGAGTTTTCAAAAGTCAAAAATCAAGGGATGATTCGTTATTTGAATCATGAAGATGAAG